ATCTGGCCCATTATCGCCAAACGGAGTACTCTGATGTTGCAAATATGGAGCGCAAGGCCAAAAGGCATCCAAGGAAGCCTTTTTCTTCCCACAGCCTCCAGTTTCCTGAGGATTTACTTTCTGGAAGCCAAACCTATAGTTCCATCCCCTTATTTAGTGTGCTTGGAGAGGCTGGGTTATCTGCCCCTTACTGTTTCCAGCCATGGTCACTCAGGCATTTGTGAGTCCGCTTCCATGGTGGGAAGACTGTTCTTCCCAGGTTGGGATTTATGCCTTTGATTGCTGCAGACACTTCCCTGCAACCCTGCGTGGAAAGCCTTTGTTTCGCTCTCGTTGAGCTCCTGAAAATCTTCCCCTGGAGAGAGGGCAAGGAAGCCGAGGGGGAAGTGGGCCGAGGGGGAAGGGGCCTTCTTGGTGGAGCTGCCCTTCTTCTCTCTGCGTCCCATCCTGGGGATCTGCCGAGGGAGTGAATGGCCCAAAGGGGACTTTGCTCAGCAGAGACTCATTTTGGGAACACCTCAACAAGCCTTTGGGAAAAGGCAGGCAATTCTGTGGCAACAGGTGCCTAATTTGGGATGCTCAGGAAGCGGACCCGGACATTGGGGGATGGGAGGCGGCCCAGCGATCTTTGTGTTCCTCAGCATTTAGCACATCCTGGTAATTCACAGAATCCAGAATTAATGACACCTTTCAATGTTGTAAATAACTGTTTCTTTGTCTTGTTGAAGACTTTCATGGCCAGAATCATTGGGATGCTTTCAGTTTTTTGGGCCGAATGGCAATGTTCCAGTAACATTCACTCCTAACTTTTCGCTTGCATCTGTGGCTGGCATCTTCGTAGGCTCTGTTGTTTGTGAGGAAAGTGGAGTGTCTATATACCTGTGGAATGGCCAAAGTGGAAGAAAGAACTCTTGTCTAAGGGATTGGCATTTGAGTAGCCATGAAGTTTGCAAAATCAATCAGTGAGGGTATCTGCCTAGAGGCAGCCTTTCTTGCCTCGAGTCTGCAAATATTCCACAGATATGTATACACTCCACTTGCCTCACCTCCAACAGAACCTCTGAAGATCCCAGCCACAGGTGCAGATGAAATATCAGGAGAGAATACTACTAATAATAATAACTTGTATTTATACCCCACCACCATCTCCCCAAAGAAGACTCGGGGCTGCTTTCCTGAGGCAAAGCCCAACAGTACATTACAATAAAATAAAACCAAAACAACAATGCAACAATACAAATAAATCAATAAAAACATAAGAATACAATAGAACAGCACAAACTAAATACAATGTAAAATCAATCCCAAGGGCGGGCCAGATGTGTAAGTTAAAATGATAAAACTCAGGATGAGATAGAGATGAAAAAGAAGTAGACGGAAGAGTGGAGACAGGCCGCCTGCTGCTGGAACGTGGCTATACAGCTCGAAAAACTCACCGCAACCCCATTGTGTCTTTCTGCCTGCCTGCCTTCCATTCCTTTAGCCACTTTTGGGATCGACCCAATGAAATTATTATTATTATATTATTTTATTTATTTGGGGTTCTTTTACCCCGCCCTTCTCACCCCGAAGGGGACTCAGGGCGGCTTACAAAAGCAAAGGCACAATTTGATGCCTGCATCATAAAACAATCATGCACAAAATTACATCAATTCAAAGTTAACAACAATTCATGCATTATAACCATAAAATCAATAAAAACCAATACAAACCCAATTTCTCCTCTTACATGGTCAGCATTCGCTAACTCATAGATCTAGTTTTACGTTCCACTTCATCAATCCTGTTGGTCTTACTCGCCTGATTGTCTGATTTAATTGCCAGAGTGCCCAAAGGCCTGGTCCCACAACCACGTCTTCACCCTCCTCCTGAAGGCGAGGAGGGATGATGATGCCCTGATTTCCCCCGGGAGTGAGTTCCACAGGTGAGGGGCCACCACTGAGAAAGCCCTGCTCCTCGTCCCCACCAGCCTCACTTGTGTTCCTGACTGTTCCTGCATAAGTCCCCCCCCAGATGATCTCAAATTCTGCGGTGGGACGTAGAGGGAGATACGTTCGGACAGATACACTGGACCGGAACCGTACAGGGGTCGGGAACCTTTGGCCCTCCAGCTGTGGTGGACTTCAACTCCCACAATTCCTTGAGGCTCGGCATTCGCCCCAAAGGCTTACCTTGGCCCAATGCCGAGCCTCCAGGAATTGTGGGAGTTGAAGTCCACCACAGCTGGAGGGCCAAAGGTTCCCTACCCCTGGTATAGGGTTTTGTAGGTCAAAACCAGCACTTTGAATTGTGCTCGGAATTGGATCGGCAGCCAGTGGAGCTGACGCAACGGGGTGGTGTGCTCCCTGTATGTCGCTCCGGTGAGCAATCTGGCTGCCGCTCGCTGGACTAGTTGAAGTTTCCGAACAGTCTTCAAGGGCAACCCCACGTAGAGAGCGTTGCAGTAGTCTATTCGGGATGTAACAAGAGCGTGGACCACCGTGGCCAGATCAGACTTCCCAAGGTACGGGCGCAACTGGCACAAGTTTTAATTGTGCAAAAGCTCTCCCAGCCACCGCTGAGACCTGGGGTTCCAGGCTCAGCGATGAGTCCAGGATCACTCCCAAGCTGCGAACCTGCGTCTTCAGGGGGAGTGTAACCCCATCCAGCACAGCTCTCATCCAGTCCGACACAGCAGCTAGACACCGATTCAAGGTCTGGACAGCCTCCTTGGTGACAGGTGAGAAGGAGTGACAGATCTGGACATCATCTGCGTAGAGATAACATCTCAGTCCGAAACTCCGAATGATCTCTCCCAGCGGCTTCATGTAGATGTTAAATAACATCGGGGACAGAATCGAACCCTGTGGGACTCCACACGACAACGGTTGTGGGGCCGAACAGGTGTCACCCAATAACACCTTCTGGGACCGTCCATCAAGAAATGACTGGAGCCACTGCAAAGCAGTACCCCCGAGACCCATGTCTATGAGGCGTCCCAGAAGGATACCGTGATCGACGGTATCGAAGGCCGCTGAGAGGTCCAGCAGAACTAACAGGGACACACTCCCCCTGTCCAGTTCCCTGCGAAGATCATCTACCAAGGCGACCAAGGCTGTTTCCGTTCCATGTCCCGGTCTAAAGCCAGACTGTGCCGGATCAAGATAATCAGTGTCTACCAGAAATCCCTGGAGTTGTGTTGCCACCACACGTTCCAGGACTTTGCCCAAGTAGGGGAGATTGGAAACTGGCCGATAGTTGTCTAATTGAGTGGGGTCCAGTGATGGTTTTTCAACAGCGGTTTTATACTTGTTTTAAGCTCGCTGGAATTTCCCTCCTGTAAGGAGGCATTAACCACCACCTCCCACTCTGCCAAACCCCCTCAGGCTTCTTTGATCAGCCAGGATGGGCAGGGGTCTAAGATGCATGTGGTAGGTCTCATCTCTCCAAGGATCCTGTCCACATCCTCAAGCTGAACCAATTGAAATGAATCCAATAAAACCTGACAAGCAGATGCTCTCGTTACATTCTCAGAGACTGCAGGTAAGGTGGTGTCAAAAACCGACCGAATCCGCACAATTTTATCTGCGAAGAATCGAGCAAACGCTTCACAGCGAGCTCCAGAGCTGTCAGGGATCTCGCTTTTAGGCGGATTTAACAGACCCCTGACAACTCGGAAGAGCTCAGCTGGACGATTCTTCGCAGATGCAATATTGGCAGCAAAAGATGTTTTTTGTGCTGCCGCTATTGCCACATCGTAGGACCTTAGAAAGGCATTCAGATGTGTTTGGGCTGATTTAGTCGGACTCCTGCGCCACACGCGCTCTAGCCACCTTTTCTTTCGCTTCATTGCTGCCAGCTCCTCAGTAAACCAAGAGGCTGGGTTAGCTCGGTTACTCGAGAGGGGGCGTTCCGGAGCGATTGTGTCGATTGCCCTAGTCATCTCGGTGTTCCAATGAGAGACCAAGGCATCGACAGGGTCGCCAGTCAAGGAGGTGGGAAACTCCCCAAGAGCCGTCAGGAAACCATTTGGATCCATAAGCCTCCTGGGGCGGACCATTCTAATGGGTCCACCACCCCTGCGGAGGTTAGGAGGTACAGTAAGTCTAAACCTAATCAGGTAGTGATCGGACCATGACAATGGAGCGATGGTCAGCTCCTCCACCCCGACACTGTCACCCCATCCCTGAGTGAAGACCAAATCCAGTGTGTGTCCGGCAGTATGGGTGGGACCAGATACTAATTGGGACAAGCCCATGGTTGTCATGGCAGCCATAAAGTCCTGAGCCGCTCCTGAAAGAGAGGCCTCGGCATGAACATTGAAATCTCCCAGGACCAAAAGCCGCTGGGAGCTCAACGCCATGTCCGAGACCACTCCTGCTAGCTCAGGTAGGGAGACTGTCGTGCAGCGGGGTGGTCGGTACACTAACAGAATCCCTATCCTGTCCCGGTCACCTAACCTGAAGCCGGCACACTCAAATGATGATGATTGTGGGATGGGGCACCTGATCAGGGGAATACAAACCTTATAGACCACTGCCACTCCTCCTCCCCGCCCTCCAGGTCTTGGCTGGTGCTGCACAGAATAACCTGGTGGGCACAGTTGGGAGAGATTCACCCCTCCCCCCTCGTCCAACCAGGTCTCTGTTATACATGCCAGGTCGGCTCGCTCCTCCTGAATTAGATCTCGAATAATGGAGGTTTTTCCATTTACCGACCTGGCATTGAACGTTTCAGAATTGGAAGCAGTCCCCCTTTCTTCCTCTTCTATCACTTATTCTTTTCTCTCCTCCCCCCCCCCCCTTCTTTTCTTCCTTCTCTCTGGATTCATTCCCTTTTTTGAGAATCCATGTTTGTCTTTACTGGTTTTTATGTATGTGCTTGAGACCTGTTGCCTACATTACTTGGTATTTCCATTTTCAACACAGCCCATGAATGATAAGTGGGGGGGGGGGGGCTTGGAGGTAAATAAGATTTCTGGCTTATATTTTTAACCCTTTGCTTCTTTTTTGACCAGGGAAATAAGGATTTTGTGGCGCAACCTCTTGGATACAGTAAGGAAACCAATACTATAAGAAGACGTAATCCTCTGATGGTGATATTCTTGCTAAAATCTTGACCTTACTTCCAGATAAGAAATTTAAGAAGAAGAGTCAAATATCTGTTTTGTAATTAAACACCCATATCACTCTTGACATGCAGGATAAAACATCAAAATGCCTGGAGTGTGGAAGGAGCTTCACGAGCAGGAGAGGTTTACATTTACATCAAACAACTCACACTGGGGAGAAACCCTATATGTGCCTGGAGTGTGGAAAGAGGTTCTCTCATCCTTCCAGTTTACAATCGCATCACAGGACTCACACTGGGGAGAAACCCTATACGTGCCTGGAGTGTGGACGGAGCTTCGCTGAGATTGGACATCTATGTTCACATCAAAGGATTCATACTGGGGAGAAACCTTTTGAATGCCAGGAGTGTGGACGGAGGTTCACTCTGAAGGCACAACTAAATTCACATCAAAGGACTCACACTGGGGAGAAATCCTATAAATGCCTGCAGTGTGGACGGAGCTTTGCTCAGAGAGCACATCTAAATTCACATCAAAGGATTCACACTGGGGAGAAACCCTATAAATGCCTGGAGTGTGGAAACAGCTTCACTGACGGTTCAGGTCTACGTTCACATCAAAGGATTCATACTGGGGAGAAACCCTATAAATGCCTGGAGTGTGGAAATAGTTTTGGTCATAGTGGAGGTTTACGTAAGCATCAAAGGACTCACTCTGGGGAGAAGCCCTATAAATGCCTGGAATGTGGAAAGAGCTTCATTGATAATTCAGGTTTACGTCTGCATCAAAGGACTCACACTGGGGAGAAACCCTATAAATGCCTGGAGTGTGGACAGAGCTTTGCTACAAGTACAGGATTGCGTTACCATCAGTGGACTCACACTGGAGTGAAACGCTATACATGCCTGGAGTGTGGACAGAGCTTCACTGATCATTCAGGTATACGTAGACATCAAAGAATTCACACTGGGATGAAACCTTATACATGCCTGGAGTGTGGAAAGAGCTTCGCTCGTAATTCAATTTTACGTTTACATCAAAGGACTCATACTGGGGAGAAACCCTATACATGCCTCGAGTGTGGACGGAGCTTCTCTTTAATTGGAAATCTACGTTTACATCAAAGGACTCATACTGGGGAGAAACCCTATAAATGCCTGGAGTGTGGACAGACCTTTACTCTGAGGGGATGTCTAAATTCACATCAAAGGACTCACACTGGAGAGAAACCCTATAAATGCCTGGAGTGTGGACAGAACTTCAAATACAGTTCATATCTGCGCTTGCATCAAAGGATTCATACTGGGGAGAAACCCTATAAATGCCTGGAGTGTGGAAATAGCTTTGCTCACAGTGGAGCTCTACGTAATCATCAAAGGATTCATACTGGGGAGAAACCCTATAAATGCATGGAGTGTGGACAGAGCTTTGCTCAGAGCGGAGTTCTACGTAGGCATCAACGGACTCACACTGGCGACAAACCCTATAAATGCCTGGAGTGCAATCAGAGCTTCGCTTGTCATTTAAGTCTGAATAGTCATCGAAGGACTCACACTGGGTAGAAACCTTATACAAGCCTCAAGCGTGGAAAGACATACTGGGAACACTGGGGAGAAAACCTATAAACACATGGCATGTGGAAAGAGCTTCTCTGAGAGATCAAATCTACATATACATAGAGTTTACATTGGAGAGAACAGTGGTATTTAACTGCATAGGGACTCTCCAAGACAGAGCTTTTCAAACTTTTCATGTTGGCAACACCCTTTTTAGGCTTGCATCCTTTTGCGGTGTGATAATTCAGTTTAACTAGCAAACCGGTGGTTAAAACCACCCCTTATAACATTTTCAATATATATATTATAATTTTTTTCCCCCAAGATGGCACCGTGACTATCTGTCAGGGGTGCTTTGAATGCAATATTCCTGCTTCTTGGCAGAATGGGGTTGGACTGGATGACGGCCCATGAGGACTCTTCCAACTCTATGATTCTAAGTGGAGTATCTTGCCTTTGTCCCTGTGGAGCTTCATTTTGTTAGTTTTGGCCCATCATCTTTCTAATCTGTCAAGATCCCTTTGAGTCCTGTCTTCTGGAGTCTTGGCTCTCCCTCCCAATTTGGTCCCGTCTGCAAACTTGATGATCCTGCCTTCTAGCCCTTCATCTAAGTCGTTAATAAAGATCCTGAGCAGGACCGGGCCCAGGATGGAGCCCTGCTGATGGCACTCCAGGATGAAGAGGAGGAAGCCTTGGGGAGAATCGCCCTCTGGGTTCATCCGCTTAACCAATTACAGATCCACCTCACCGTAGTTTTGCCTAGCCCACATTGGACTAGTTTCCTTGTCAGAAGGTCTTGGGGACCTTGTCGAAGGCCTGAAATCCAAGTACGCTACATCCACGGCATTCCCTGTATCTACCCAGCTTGTAACTCTATCGAAAAAAGAGACCAGATGAGTCTGGCATGACTTGTTTTTGAGAAATCCATGTTGACTATTGGCGATGACCGCATTTGTTTCTAAGTGTCTGCAGACCACTTCCTTAACAATCTTTTCCAGAATCTTGCCTGGTATCGACGTGAGGCTGACCGGACATTGGTCATTGTTTGGGTCGTCCTTTTTTCCCTTCTTGAAGATTGGGACCACATTGGCCCTCCTCCAATCTGCTGGAACTTCTCCCGTTCTCCAAGAACTCCCAAAGATGATTGCCAATGGTTCTTGGATGTGTTTAGAGCGGCCAGGTATTCCTGGGTGACTTGTTCGTCCATTCCATGTTGCTGAGGTTGGAGATTACTTTCTTTTTGTGGAATCTATGAACAGCTTAAATGATCTGTAGAATTTTCTTTTTAGGTTAGATGTGTTCTAGAGGATCTATAGAATCTCCAATACCTTGTGTAATGTGTGTCAATGGAATAGAGATGTCGATTGAGTTGTCATAACGATAATTTTGCATAACTTCCCCCCCCCACTCCATCCCCACAAACCTCATGTTTTGTTTTGTCTTTCTTTTGTCCTTTCTTTGCAACTTAAACTTTCTTTGCAACTTAAAAGCTTAACGAAATAAGAACAACCTTATCCTGTATCTCTATGACACCCCTTTCCCCGCCTTTCCCCAATTTCCTCCGTGTGAAATTCTTTTATTTTTATTTGTAAATTCTTAATAAAATATTTACCACCCAAAAAAGGTTGCATTTACAATGGGGCCAGAGTTGTGTCCCATAGGAAGGCTGGACAGTCATCTAGAAACAAAATTTGGAAGAAGCCTAGAATAGATGGTCAACACCGCAAGCCTAGTTTATTCTCAGAGAGAGGAGGAAGTCATTGCCCCGCTCAAGAGGAATGGCTGGTGAATTTATTTATTTATTTCGGTTTCTTCTATCCCGCCCTTCTCACCCCGAAGGGGACTCAGGGCGGCTTACAAGGCACAATTCGATGCCAGCATCACATAACAGTAGTAAAACAAAATAACATCAATTAACAGTTAAACAGTTAAACAACAATTCCTGCATTACAACCATAAAACCAATAAAACAATACAAACCCAATTACTCCTCATAGACGGTCAGCGTTCGCTATCTCATAGTCCAAATTCCAATTCCACATTGTCAGTCCTGTCAGTCCTAATCGTCTGATTGTCTTATCTAGTTGTCAGATTGCCCAAAGGCCTGGTCCCACAACCACGTCTTTACTTTTCTCCTGAAGGAGAGGAGGGATGTTGATGCCCTAATTTCTCCCGGGAGTGAGTTCCACAGGTGAGGGGCCACCACTGAGAAGGCCCTGCTCCTCGTCCCCACCAACCTCACTTGTGATAGCGGTGGGGTCGAGAGCAGGGCCTCCCCAGATGATCTCAAACTCCGGGTGGGACGTAGAGGGAGATGCGTTCGGACAGATACACTGGACCGGAACCGTACAGGGTTTTGTAGGTCAGAAAGAAGAGGAGGCTAGAGTGCGTGTGGCGCCAGAATCCCACCAATCCAGCCCAAACACATCTGAATGCCTTTTTAAGGTCCTACGGTGTGGCAATAGCGGCGGCCCAGAAAACATCTATTACAGCCAATATTGCATCTGCGAAGAATCGTCCAGCTGAGCTCTTCCGAGTTGTCAGGGGTCTGTTAAATCCGCCAAAAAGCGAGGCCTCAGACAACTCGGTGGCTCGCTGTGAAGCATTTGCTCGATTCTTCACGGATAAAATTGAGCGGATTCGGTCGGGTTTTGACGTCATGTTAACGGCAGTCTCTGGGGATGTAACGAGAGCATCTGCTTGTCCAGTTTTGTTGGATTCATTTCAATTGGTTCAGCTTGAGGATGTGGACAGGATCCTTGGAGAGGTGCGACCCACCACATGCATCCTAGACCCCTGCCCTTCCTGGCTGATCAAGGAAGCCAGAGGGGGTTTGGCAGAGTGGGTGAAGGTGATGGTTAATGCCTCCTTACAGGAAGGAAAATTTCCAGCGAGCTTAAAACAAGCTATTATAAAACCGCTGTTGAAGAAACCATCACTGGATCCCACTCAATTTGACAACTATCGGCCAGTTTCCAATCTCCCCTACTTGGGCAAAGTCATGGAACGTGTGGTGGCAACACAACTCCAGGGGTTTCTGGTAGACACTGATTATCTAGATCCGGCACAGTCTGGCTTTAGGCCGGGACATGGAACTGAGACAGCCTTGGTCGCCTTGGTAGATGATCTTCGCCGGGAGCTTGACAGGGGGAGTGTGTCCCTGTTAGTTCTGCTGGACCTGTCAGCGGCCTTCGATACCGTCGATCACGGTATCCTTCTGGGGCGCCTCATGGACATGGGGCTCGGGGGCACTGCTCTGCGGTGGCTCCGATCCTTCCTTGAGGGACGGTCCCAGAAGGTGTTACTGGGTGACACCTGTTCGGCCCCACAACCGTTGTTGTGTGGAGTCCCACAGGGCTCAATCCTGTCCCCGATGTTATCTCTACGCAGATGATGTCCAAATCTGTCACTCCCCCTGAAGACGCAGGTTCGCAGCTTGGGAGTGATCCTGGACTCCTCATCGCTGAGCCTGGAACCCCAGGTCTTGGCGGTGGCCGAGAGAGCTTTTGCACAATTAAAACTTGTGCACCACTTGTGCCCGTACCTTGGGAAGTCGGATCTGGACACGGTGGTCCACGCTCTTGTTACATCCCGATTGGATTACTGCAACGCACTCTACGTGGGGTTGCCTTTGAAGACTGCTCGGAAACTTCAACTAGTCCAGTGAGAGGCAGCCAGATTGCTCACCGGAGCTGCATACAGGGAGCATACCACCCCCCTGCTGTGTCAGCTCCACTGGCTGCCGATCCAATTCCGAGCACAATTCAAAGTACAGGGTTAGTTTAAAAATTGTGATGGATTGTGATGTTATTCTACCGGTGTGAGCAATAAAAAAAGACTTTAAAAGAAAGAAAAAGAAATGGACAATGCGACTGCCGGTTACGGAGAAATCTTTGATCCACTTGAAGAAAGATTGGGACGCCTCTTTCACGTTTTCACAACAGCAACACCAGGGGCAAATGTCAGTGGTTGGATTTATGAATTAGGAGAATGCTGCCAAAAGCAGAAGGGATTAGCTAAGGTGTAGAACAATAAGGGATACAATCAACTCTGTTTGAAGCTTATCATAACAACAACAGTAATAATAATATTTGCCAATACATCACATAGTCCTAGACACTTGGGAAGGGTCCGACGTGTGATCCAATACAACAGCCAACATAGGTATCTTGTTTGCTGTGTACTGATCTTGTTGTGTTTCCAATAACAATAATAATCCTTCCCCACCTCTTCTCGTGGTTCGAGGCGGGTTGCAGCATAATTAAAAGCATTATAAAAATTCTATAAATATATATATTTATATAAAGGACCCATATTAAAATGTATTTTTATAGAATACGTATTAAAATACACAAAATGGAGATTAAAGGACATGACTTTAAAAACTCATGATTCAAAACAGGATATGCCTACCGGAAGAGATGGGTGTTTAGTTGGTTTGAAAATTCTGACCGCTGACCTCGTGCTTGGAGCTTTTCTTCCGGCAGGTCATTCCACAGTCTGTGGGGAGATGGAGGCGGGGTATGAATCAAGTATTATTATTATTATTATTATTATTATTATTAAAGAACCTCACCCTGGAAGCTCGTCGCCCTCCATGGCTCTCCAGGCTTAAATTGGGCTCGGAAAATAAACGGCACCCAGTGGAGCTCCTTGAACAGGGATTGGTTACCCCCAAAGTCAGGGCTTGGGGGAAAGTAAAAAGAAGTTTAAAGCAGTCTTAGTTTGAGCTGTTGACTGGGGCACATTTCATCCGTTTTCCCAATTCTGGCTCCCAGGAACTGCGGAACTCCCTGCTGCAGTTCACACCAACTTGAAGGCGGGAGTCTCCGCTGCGGTCGGGGTCAATTCTGCCAAGAAGCAGAAATATTGATGCAGGCCAAAATCCCACTGGTTTTTTCCCCTGCCACATCACATTCCTGGCTCATGTTTAACTTGTTATCCACAAGGACTCCAAGATTTTTGATTGTATAAATGTTTCTGTTTGATTTCCATCTTTATTCAATACGTTTATTTATTTACATAATTTAAATTATTTTAGGCTTGTTATTATAAGTTTCTGTTGATGTTTCATATTGACCTCACTACCACCTCTGAGGATGCTTGCCATAGATGCAGGCGAAACGTCAGGAGAAATGCCTCTAGAACAGGGGTAGATCACCCCTCAACAAAAGTTTGCTCCAGGCACTGTCAGGCCATTATATGCTAATCAAGGTGGTCAGTTGAAACATTCACACCTAGCTCCAGCAGACAAGAGTCCTTTGTCCCACCCTGGTCATTCCACAGATATATAAACCCTTTTGCCTAGTTCCAACAGACCTCACCTCTGAGGATGCTTGCAATAGATGCAGGCGAAACGTCAGGAGAAATGCCTCTAGAACATGGCCATATAGCCCGAAAAAACCTACAACAACCCAGTGATTCCAGCCATGATAGCCTTCGACAATACAGTTGAAACATTTACACCTAGCTCCAGCAGAGAAGAGCTCTTTGCCCCACCCCAGCCATTCCACAGATATATAAACCCATTGTCCTAATTTCAACAGACCTCACTACCTCTGAGGCTGCTTGCCATAGATGCAGGCGAAACGTCAGGAGAAATGCCTCTAGAACATGGCCCTATAGCCCAAAAAAACCTACAAGAACCTAGTTTATTTATTTGTTTACAGCATTTCTACTTTTATGGCATTGAATGTTGGCCACTTTTGCTTGGAAAGGTCCCTGCGTCCCTTTGGGGAGAGAGATATGGGGTGGATTGTAAACGAAGTCACTTGCTTATTTATTCCCCCTCCAAGATGCCCTGAGTATGTGATCAACGCAGCAAGCATGGTTCATTCTCAG